TCATCACATGTTTGGGGTGGCAGGAATTATGGTGCAGTAATGCCAGGTTGTCTGTGTCCTTCAGATGGACACAGGTATGCATCCTCAATTTATCGTTGATCAAAAACTTATAAATGGAGATATCAAGGTAGTCAATAATCCTGCTATTCATACAACATTCAATAATAATATTATCCATCACTTCATTCACCCTTTTACAAAATTCATCATATTTAAACTCACCATTCACACATAAAAAAATGTCATCCAGGTAACGATAATAATGAATAGGACTGAACCGGCCCGTGATAATCTCATCAAAATTCCTTAAATAAAGGTTAGCTATGGTCGGGGCATAAGCTCTTCCCATAGCCACCCCCATAACCTGTAAATAAAATATACCCTTAAATAAAAAATCACTATTATACAATGTAAAATTTAACAGATCAAGAATCAAGTTGTCCGGTCGATGGGGAACCCTCCTCTTCTTCAATTCTCTTCTTACTACTGCCATCGCTCTCTTAAGGTCGATGTTGGTATACAAGGATGCGATGTCACCAGTGATGAAGGCATCCTCGTACGCGATCGGGCGGAATCTTAGCTTGTCCACCAGTTGCTGCGAGTTCATCAGAACGTGGGTCAGGTCGCTGCAACATCCCCTAAGGTTAGAGTCTATAAATTCAGCAATTTTATAGCTCTCCGAACCCACGTCGGACACAATCGGTCTGCCAGGTGGGCAACCAACGTTAAGCCACCTATTCACGGCCTTGTGAATCTTTGGCAGCGTGTAGAACCTCCTGGGTCTACAGTCCGGGTCTGGCAGCAGCTTCCTGAGCGTGTTGTCGGAAATCTCCCCCTCGCGGTACGCCCTGTGTAACCTATTCGAAATATAATCAATGTTTACTAACCTTAATCCATCTTCTAGCTTCCTGTAGTAGCGGCTGTCATCAAGTTGGCGCAGCGCCTCCCGCTCGTACTCGGATCTGTCCATTATGACGATTGTGCTGCCCTTGTCCGCCTTGCGGATGACGATCTCATTGTCCTCCCTCAACGTCTTCATGGTGTGTATATCTTCGCTACTGTGATTCGTTTTCAACCATGTGGGTCTGTTATTGAATAACCTCTCATTTGTGCAGCAGAACTCCATGAAGGAGTTTATGAACGGATCATTATGGATGAATCTTCCAGCCTCATCAGGTTTAATATGCTTTGTTTTTAATTCTCTATTAATTACATTCCTCATTAAATTATTAAAATCAAAATATGTAGTATGGGTATACGAAAAGACAAATTTCATCCCCTTACCCAATAACCGCATTACCTCCTCCCCCAATACCCTTTTACTTAAATTTAAAACCTCAAAACTCTTCCTCCTCTCGAGTGGCAGCCAGGGTTTTGGTATCCTGCTCTGCCATTCATACTGTTCCCGTGCTAGCTAATGGTAGTGGATCGGGGACCGTGACTCCGCATAGGCTCGTTCCATCTGCGTAAGTTCCACACCGGCACCCCTGCCATCAGCATCATACAAACTGGACGTGTATCTCTCCATTATGTCAATATGTCGATCAAAATCCTTCTCTATCTGTTTATTAAACTCCTCTTGTGTGAACATCGAACTAGTCAGCTGTGTCGATGTTTCTCCCCTTTCGCTCCCCGTTATTCTCTTCTTATGCCCTTCCTGTACCACCAAATCATCCACATCCTCCTCATCTTTCTTCCTTTTGTCTACCTTGTTCTTGGGGCCCATCGCCCTGGGTGTGGGTCTCAATGCTCTATCACCCCCTTCTTTCTGTACCATTCTTATATCACCCTCTTCTATCTTGCATATTCTAGTCTTCATTGTACCCATATCCTTCATCATGTTTGTCATCATCCCCTTCATCGCCGCCATCTGTTCCGTCATCATCTTCATCATATCATTAATTGCATTCTGTGTCGGACCGGTATCATGCCTCGGGATATCAACCTGCATGGGCTCCGTTCTCAGCGGGACCTCAACTGATTCCGTGTTCATCTCACTAACAGTTTGATTATTCGGCCCTTTTTCCTCCACAGGTGAATTCGCTATCTTCATGACCCCTTCATATTCCTTCATCACCATCTCGACGATATCATTACTGAATCGTCGACATTACTCATAGTGTCCTTATTCAACCCATCATCATTCTGACGTTTTCTCTCATCATAATCCCTCCTTCCATGTCGTGTAATCCCCTCATCCTCATCCTCCCTTCTCATACGTCTAATCATCATATCATCATCTTCCTCCCATCTATTGTTTCTTTCCCATCTCCCCCTTTTGTTCATCTCATTCATTCCTCTTCTATCATCCATCCACATGGCCAAGATCGGTCCCTGTACAGGTTAGGTTTCGAAGTGGCTAGATATAAATCTGTGTAGCTAAACACGAACACGGCCGTGCGGATGAATAAGACAAACGAATAGCCTTGTAAAGTTTTTTTATTGAAACAGTGTAAGTACTTCAGTCTGCCTGTGTCAATACCGGTATTTCGAGCTATGCTCTCATCAGGAATAATAGCAGACTGTATATAAAAATTAATCATATGCAATGTGAAAATAGAACAAATTAATTAATGTAATATAAAATGAATTTAAAATATATCATGAATTACTGTGGAAATAAAACAGATTGAACCCAATTTGAAATCTTACAAGACCAACAACCACATAAAACCATGAAATATTAAAACCAAATAATTAAAATCACAAAATTCAAACATATAAAAGTGCTAACAAAACCAAATAATTAAAATCACAAAATTCAAACATATAAAAGTGCTAACAAAACCAAAGTTGATAACCAGTGAAATTCAATGAAAAATAAGTGTAACAGTCTATAAAACTATAATATACAATAAAATAACAAACAGATTATAAAAGTGGAAGAAAACCAATATTTAACCAATTAAACAAATACCCATCCTATTAGTCAATATAAATGTGCAAAACCCAGAGAAATCTATCCTATTAGTTAACATAAATGTACAAAAACTCAGAGAAACCTATCCATTATAACTATATCCAGTCAATTTATAATATACAATTAAGTAACCACTATATCAATATATAAAAATAATAATTATAAACTAAAATAATAATTCAATATAATTCCAGAATACATATCAAACATAACCCTATCAATCCAAACAAACACATACACATAATTAAACCTAATATCAACATATAAGAACAAATTTAAAACTATATTCAATACGAGATACTAAAATTCTTCAAATATATAAAATCCATAAGACATAAAATCACGGAATAAATCAAGTAAGAAATCAAATAAGGAGTCAGGCCCAATGGGTGCAAATGTCAATATAGAATCACACAGTATGGTATATATTGCAGTAGTTCAAGGCAAATCCCAATTATAAAGTCCACGACAATCAAGTACAAACGACTTGTCATCCCACGCATATCATGCACATAAACCTAACGATCACCAGGTTCAGCCCAGTGTATGCAAACAACAAGGTAGTCATCCATATTGTCAAAGCATACAATGCAAGCTGTGCACACAACCATTCAAATACATAGCATAGTCAAGCAAACATGTAATATAAAAATCCAAGCAAGCAATAATTCGTTGCCGACGAGAACCACGGTTATGTAAACCCACGTTAATTCACCTCATAAATATAATAATAACCACATGCAATTCACAATAATCAATAATCATAATAATACCTCATAAATATAACAATAACCACGTGCAATTCACAAAAATCAATAATAATAATAATAGTACAAACCTCCGTAAATTTCCCTTTAGTTCCCAACGACGTGTTACGTATATAATAAAAAGTTACAATACGGATAATTATACAGTAATAAAATAGTTTCGACAATATCAACAAAATAATGAAAACAACGACGTGTTACGTATATAATAAAAAGTTACAATACGGATAATTATACAGTAATAAAATAGTTTCGACAATATCAACAAAATAATGAAAACAGCAAGGAGCGATGGTAACTATTTATATAATACATGCATAATTATTCCAACCCATAATACGCTTACATAAACTATAGTACAATACCATAATTATGTAATAATATAACATACAGCGAACCAAGAAATATGGAATAAATTAACACAATACCCAATATCAAATATATGGTAATCGGAAAAAACATCACCTGGATAAAAAGTCACCCCAAAAAAGTTAGAGGACAAAACATCACCTGGATAAAAATTCACCCGGAAAAAACATCACCCAGATAAAACATCACCATGAAAAAACTTCACCCGGAAAAAACATCACCCAATCCGATTAAAAACTAAAATTATTACTGTTATTACTCTATCATATGATTTTCTTTAATGTATTTTTAAATGCTGTGTTTTTTTTATTTCAATTTTTATTCCTATTTTATTTTCTTGACGGAGGTGGTTTATTTTGCTAGTTTAGTTTGAGCGCAATTGAATTTGGGAAACTGCTCTACATAAATGTATTTTGATTGATTTGATTGATTGATAAAATTACTAATAAAAGATGCATTGTATAATTGTAAACAGGAGAAATCATTGCAAATTAAGTATTAAAAACAGAGTTTTTAAATGTAATCGTAATCTTTTGTAAGTAGTATGGTATGTCCTATCGCTTGTAAAGCTATGGGTATGGTAACAAACTCATTATTCAGATCGTTGCAAATGTTTCGCAATCTTCGTTGATGGTTAATTGTGTGTTGAGATGTTTTTTTCAAGGTTGGTCGACCTTCTTGAAGTTGATTAAATGCATTGATATTCATCGATCTGTCTAACTGGAAAGCTCTCAGTAAGGTCCAAATTGAC